ACAATCAGTTCTTGTTTAGTAAATCAGCCTCAAAACAAGATCAAAAAGACCTTTTGGCTGGATATAAGATTTTAAAACTTGTTTAGATGGACAGTTTGTGCAGTGCATTTCTTTCATTCCCAAAACAGACGACAGACTAAGCTACCCCCACCAAGAATGCACTGCACTTTTGCACCAATAAAAGCATGGAAAGTTTGCTCTTATTTGTTTGTCTTTCTTAATCATTTGAAAGTAACTTGATATTTTCTTTTTCTATCCTGTGCCTGCGTGTTTGTCTGTATATATATTTTTTGTCTATGTGTGCTTTTACACACAAGCAGACAGAGGTTAGAAGTGGATCCATGAAGCGTTCAGTCTCCACAGTCGCGGATCAGCGTGTAAACGGACTCTGGCAGGAGGAAAAAAGTCCAGAGCGAGTGTATCGACCTCGTCACAAAAGCTACAAGGCTGCTGGTAAGTCCCGTTCTTCACACGCTGGAGATGGACACTAAATTTTGTGCAATTATTTAGCAATGAAATCTTCTCAGTTTAWTATATCTGTTCATTTCTGTCAAATCCAAACCATAAAAACAGGATAGATCAAAGGTTTCAAGGAGACAGATATTTTTAAATGAAGCCATGGCCTTAAGTGATAAAACCCTCGTTTTCCCTTCTATTTGTACTTTGTTTTGTTTTTCACTTTAAATTACTCCTACATACTTTGTGCTATTTAAACCATTTATTTGTCAAAGCGTTTTATATATTTAAGATATTTTCTCTCCAAAAGCACAAAGTCAAAAGTTCACCTGCATGCTTTTTTAGTCAGACATTAGGAGTACATTGAGTTTAATCTTATACCAGCTTCATAAGTTTTAACTTTATGTTTTAGTCTTTCTTTGTTGTTCTTCTCTTCCCTAACTGTCCTCCAGTTTCTCGGTCCGAGCACCGGGAGCGTGGCCGCTCCAAAGAGCTTTGCCACCTCCTGTCTCCCGACACGTCTCGATGCAACTCAGAGGAACGCAGCCTGCAGCCCTCGCGGTCCTCCAGCGCTGAGAGAGARCACCTGCAGGACAAACAGGTAGGTTAAGACACGCACACAAAAAGACAATGAAACCTCTGACAGAAACAGGAAAGTGGGACGGTTTCACCTTATTACCGTGCGGAGCTCTGCTGGGCAGAGCTGCATTCTGGCTTTCACATAACGCCGCACCACTCAATTGAGCAGCTTTGCTAACCAGTTCTGTTGGCAGAAGAGGGGGCCTTGTTTAAAATTAGCATTCATAACTTAAAGGGTTGTTTGTTTGTAATTCATCAAACATATAAAGCAGAGGAAGGCAAAATGGTTCGGTGTCGTAAAATTTATTATAGAGTATAAAACACACCATCGTCAGAAGTAGCTTTTTTATTTTGCCAGCTGACTCAGCTTTTTTAGTATTAAAAAAAGCTTGAACCATTTTTATACGGAGCGCAATAAAAAAAATCTTGTCAATTTTCCTTCATTCTCTTTATAGCTGACTCTTAAACTTGTGAGCAGCTCTGAAGAGAAGTATCTGCTAAATGAACGAAAAGGAAACATTAAACGAGTATATAAAAATCGACAAGTTAGCAGTTATAGAYGTTGTTTTAAAGCTTCTTACCACATTTTATGATCTTTAGCAACACACAATGCAGTTATCAAAACAATTATAGTCTTTGTAGCTTTTTGACCATATTTTTTATTAATAACCTGAAAAGTAAAATAATTTGATGATAAATATGTTTATTTTAATCTACTAAATGATTATTTATTTCATCCAGGGCAACAGTTCAGACAGCCCAGTACCCTCCACCTCAGAGTCCAGCACACCCAGYGGCCGGCGACCTCTGTCCCAGACCCCGACCCGATCTCACCCTCACATCTCCTACTCCCCACTTGTGTGTCGCACCCAGACCTCGGCTGTGGAAGACGAGGACGGCGAGCAGGGCAGCCCAGAAACCGTGAGRCAGGGTAAGCCCGACTGGGACACCCAGGAAGGGGCTGCAGGAGAGCGGAGGAGCAAGGCCGGCGGGTACTCGTCCCCACCCCGACGCTACCCATCCGAGCCTTTCCTGGCCTCGCAGGAGGACGACCACAGCCCGGACCCAACCGGTCCAATGGARACGCTGACCTTTGAGGCGGCCGTGGCCTGCAGTTTAGGGCGCGCAAACACCATTGGCTCGGCCCACCCGCGCTGGCGGACCGGGTGGCAGGTCCCCAACGGACACTTCCGGAAGYGTCTCGTGCAGACGACCTCAACGTCAGGCTGCGACCCACTCAGCGACACAGAGGAGGACGACCGGTGCTAGGGACAGGAGACGCTCTGCATCTGCATCCAGAGTGAAAGTTTATCTGACTTTTTTTTTTTTTTGCATCTTCAACGCTGTGAGCCCTCTGGATGTAAAGACTAAACTGAAACGGTAGTTACCAATTCACACAGAACACTGACAATCACTAAGGTCTATTTCCTGACTTGTACTTGACGATACAGAGTAATAATGCATCTCAAGTATTCGATGAGTACAGAAAAATAAATCAAACAAAAGGACCAGATCGTGTCATTTTTGTCCATAGATAGATTGATTTCTCAAAGTGTTTTTTTAAACGAGTCAGTGTTGCTCTGAACAATATTTTCTGTGGGGTGTGTGAATATGGAACTATGTTTTATTAGAAATTTTTGTAAATACATTGTGATCATCTCACCATTGCCATTTATTAAACCAAGTTGATGCAACAAGCCATCCTGAAGCGGCAATCACAAACTTTACCAGACAATGATATATTATTAATAATATTAATAAGTGACTCTTTATAATGCTGGATTTTTTACATTAGAAATAGATGTGGAGGGGGGGGGGCTGCCTGATTTCCCCATGTTGTTTCTTTTATTTTAGTTTTTTGTAATAAATACAATTTCTGAGAGCTGATATAAAGTAAAACRGAAAATAAACTTGTGATTTTATTCGACATTTTTAAATCATGTCTCCAACAAACCCCAATTTTTAAAATTGCTTGATTTTAGACTTTTTTTGTTGTTTTTAAACCCTTTAATTAAAACATATCCCCAAATACAAAACTTTCCCACTATTTTCACATTTTGTAATCGTGAAAATCAACCTTTCCCGGACAATGACTGCAGAAACATTCCAGAAACACCATGATGCATTTTACTTCAAAAAATCCCACATTGCTCTATAAGGGTTATGAATAATGTACAGAGAAAAATATGCTGTTTGAAACATTTAGAGAAGAAATTTGCAAAGCTGTACAGGTGTGATGGAATCCTTGGAAATATTCATGTTAAGGTTGTGTTTTGTTTTATTTGCCTGAAGAGGGCACAATCTGTGAAATCCACTTAACCAAAAGATTTGTATCATACGTTCCAGGAATGCAAATATTTTGTTGGTTTTTATGTGTACAATAGCTGTATATACTAGTAAAGGTGTCCTCAAGTTGCCATTGTGTCTTTTATGTGGTTGTTGTTTTCTTTGTTGAGCCAAATAAAATGAACTAAAGCTGGATTAATAAGTGTGGCTATAACAATCCAGACAATGTACAATTAGAAACAACAGTCTGCAAATACTGAGGTTTATTAAAGTATTTCAACTGGAATATTTAGGCAATAATTATTATTTAATGAAAGAACTTGTTTCTCTCTCAGACAATCCATAAAACTTGAAACTCAGGTTTACAACTCACTTTGCATGATGATACAGGGGTCAGCAACTCTTGGCTCACAAAACAGTAAAAGTAGATATTCACATAATGCTGAGAATTCAATTATTTTTATTTTTTTAAAGATTACAGTGTTGATGTGATGGAGAGATTAGCAAAGAAGATGTGAATAAATCTACTGGGTTCAGTAAAGTAGGTAAGTAAAGTTTTATTTATATAGCACCTTTCATAGGTGCGGTACAATCAGAGGGAAATCAAAAGATATACAATCATAACAGGATATAAAAAAGTTTGGAACAAAAAGTATAAAAGTATAAAAGCTGTACAACCATCAAAGTATCAAGACTGCAATCCGAAAAAATAAAACAAGGAAATAAATTCTAGACAAAAATGGGGAGGGCAGATTAAAACATTAACATATTAAGATGAAGGATTTTTAAATCAGAAATTAATATGGAGGCAGGTCTCCGAATGGAGTGCTGGTACATTTTAGAAAAATACATTTTTGATAAATTGAAATGATTTTGGATGAAAATACTGGCTGTTTGACATATATTAATATGTACAGTCGGTAGGTAGGGTTTGGTGAAACACTAAAAGGTCAGGCTGCAGAAAAATGCTGAAATTGGTTAGTTAAAAGCTTGTTTAAAGAGGTGTGTTTTCAGATATTTCTTGAATGAATCAATGCTTTCAAGCGTGTGCAGATAGATAGGAAGTTCATTCCAGAGCCTGGGGTCCATGGAGGAGAAGGCTCGGTCACCACGGGTCTTGAGACGTGTGTGGGGAACCATTAGGAGATGTTGATCCTGTGAGTGTAGGCTGCGTTTGGGCTTGTAAGGGGGAGATGAGACTTTTAATGTAGTCAGGCGACTGGCCATTGAGAGCTCTGAAAGTGAGGACCAGGATTTTGAACTTGATTCGAAAATGAACAGGGAGCCAGTGAAGTTCTGAAAGGATCAGGGAGATGTGTGAGAATGTTGAAGTTCAGGTTAAGAGGCTATTACAATAATGTACGCGGGTCGAGATGAATGCATGAATTACTAATTCCAGGTCAGAAATGGACAACAGGGGCCGCAGCTTTGAAATATTGCGAAGTAGTGTAAAAATGTTCAGGTACAAGTAAAAACATTTGTTCTAAATCACATGTAAGTAAAAAAGCCCCTAATATTTCCCAATATTGTCATGTTCATGATCACTGCCTTTCAGTTTAAAAGTAATATAAATACAACACAAATTGTGAAAATTTGGAGGGGAAAATGTATGGATTACCAAAAAACACATTTTGGGTTCTTGTATTAAGCTTAACTGTCATCCTGTAAAAGCAGCTCAAATAAAGCTGAAACAAACAAAGAAGCTCAAATAAAGTTGCATGTCATGCAACACTAATCAGAAATTTGTCTGCCATTAAGCATTACGTCTTAGTGGATACAAAGAGTGGAAGCATAAAATGCATAAATGTTTTTTGGCACAAATGGAGCCCAAGGTAATTTCAGATCAACTTTGCTTGCTTTTGTTCTGATCAGATCTCAACAGGACTAAATAATATATTTTATGGCACCAGTGCAGCCTATTACACATTACATTTGTTGTTTTAAGACAGAGTAATAAAAACATAAAAAAGACTAATAGAAGGCTGGTTACTCATTCATGGAATTTGGTGCATGTGTAAAATGTAATTGCTTGACAAATTAGTAATAATTTATACATAAAGTCAACAAAGATGTGGTTTTGGGATGAGTGTTGAAAATGGAGAAAAGACAAAACAATGTTTTTAAATATTAATTATCTCAATCAAGCATCACATTAATATACAAAGCCACACATAAAAGGGTGCTCTCATTTTTGCTTTCCTAACAATACGGTGAAATAATCTATTCAAAAGGCATGACTTTACTTTACAATCTCTAGTTTTTACCTTCCTGCGCGTACGTTCCACTCCTGACCAGTCGGTGGCGGTATTACGCACCTGACCAGTTCACAAATAACACCAAAGAAGAAGACGGGGGGCGGAGAAGAAACAGGCTAGCAGGAAAACAAATTGTTTAATGTTACTCACGAAGTTAAAAGGCGTTGTTTATTTTTAACTTTGTCAACCAGATAGATCAGTGGGACATCCAAAGTTGCCGATGAAACATATGTTGCGTACAAATTGTATTTTTTTACGAAGGAATGAGTGTTACTCATCGAGGAAGTCGATGAAAAAGTAGCTAGCTTGGGGTTGCTAACCGCTGTTAGGAGAGTTCTTTGTTATCCTCCTTCAGGTTCGTTTAACAATAAAGACAAGCTAGTGGGGTCATAATTTACCATGTACATGAGTTAAATAACCATGCCACGAGTGCATTTGCTTGTACAAAGTTGAGTAACTGAATCAAGGACATAATACTAAAATACATTAGCAACCGAGTAAGTTGAAGTGGCTGAGTTCTAATTCAAGCGTTGGCTGGAACCGGACTGGAGACACTGAAATATGGGGAACTGTCTGAAGTCTCCAACATCAGACGACATCTCTCTGCTCCATGAATCCCAGTCCGATAGAGCGAGTTTCGGTGACGGGACAGACCCGGACCTGGAGCCGCCTCCTCCGTACCAGGTGAGGAGATTAGCTAATCTAAGAAAAGTTTGTATCAACCTACTGACAGCAGTGTGTTAGTGTTGTATTTTTTCCAAATGCTTTTAGTTTTTTTTCTTAAAGAACATTTCCCTTTACTTAACARTCTTTATTTGTATATGGAAATTGAGTAAATGGTGCACATTCACCTGGACTGAAGTATTCATGTTGATTAAAATGCACTGATGCTTTTCATTTAGTAAGTATAAAAATTGTTTTCATAAAACTTCAACTTCAAGTTCCTAAAGTTCTTTGACTCCAGTGGACTTATGTGTCAACAACAAAAGGTATTTTGRTTGTTATTCTCAGAACGTGTTCTTTTTATTTTTATACTTTGTTGTTTATCCACACACACAGTCTGACCTGTCAAACCACATTGTGTTGACAAAGAGTAAAAACAGAAAACTGTTTTTTTTTTTTCCTCATCCGCCACCAGGAGCAGGCTCACATGCCCATGTACCATCCTACACCCAGTCAGGCCCGTCTGGCCACCCAGCTCACGGAGGAGGAGCAGATCCGCATAGCTCAGCGCATCGGCCTCATCCAGCACCTCCCTAAGGGTGTTTATGATGGAGGACAAGACGGCTCGGAGAAAAAGATCAGAGAGTAAGCCTTTATTTATTTGATGGGTTGAAACCAAGCAGGTTTTAAGAAGAAGCWGTAGTTTTGTGGTGTGATTGATTTAGGGTCTGACACATTTCTGCATTAGTTTTTGCAGTGACTTCTTTTTAAATTCAATTCATATTAGGCATTCAGCAAGGTGTTTTGAGCGAATATTTTTTATAAACTAAAAAAATTAAATGAAATCAGGATGCCATTTAAATTTTTTGGGTGATGAGTATTTCTAATGTTTCTTTTAGGTGTGTGATCTGTATGCTGGACTTTGTTTACGGAGACCCCATTCGGTTCTTGCCATGTATGCACATCTATCACATGGACTGTATAGACGACTGGCTGATGAGGTCCTTCACCTGCCCCTCCTGCATGGAGCCCGTGGATGCTGCGCTGCTGTCCACCTACGGACCAACCGATTTCTCCCCCGATGCTTAGATGAAACTCTGCCCCCCTCCAGCACCCGAACCTAACATCTTCCCTCTTGTTGAGTGAGAGGAGCTTAAAAAAAGAAGAAGGAAAGGGGAAAAAAAGCGTGTTGGTTATCTTGCACTTGGAATATTTCAAAAAAATATATTCACCCAACGTTGGCCTTTCTTTCCCCCTCTCAGATCTGATGCTAGTTAAGCTGGTCTTAAAAACATCGGTTACATGAGTCAGACCGAAACTTTCCCTCTGCATGATCGTATTTCTGTGTCTGTTTTGCTGAGGCAGTGTCCAGTGTTGCCGCAAATGAAGAGAGATATGGATTTGTGTGTGTGTGTGGGTGAGGTGTGCGTGTTAAATGGTAAATGAGCATTTTCACTAGAGCTGGTCTCAGTGGCATTTCTCCACAACTGACCCCAGTCCACCAAAAAATCCCAAAAACAGTTTTAAATGAAATTGAGCACTGGCTCATATGCTGAGAGGTGTTGCCAGACATCTGTTGGCCTATCTCTAAAGCATTTAAATTCTGTGATATTGATATTTACATTTTTGGCCTAGGAGAAACCGCATTTTGGCTTCCCAAAGAGGCTGAAACGCACACCAAAAACATATGCACAGATGCTACATAAATGACACAATTTTAGACAGGCGTTCAAGTTGTGAGGGGAATGCGGTGATTGTTCCCCGAATGTTTTAACAAATAATGATCCGACAGTCGGCGTAAAGGGCTCATTTGCGCTCGGGCAGTGGGAGGGGGTCAGTCACTCAGTTGAACATTAGAAACGCTTGCACACACTTTTCATCCAATCCAGAGATTTGCACTTTACTTATAGGACATTATCTAAAACAATATATTAATATATTTACCTTATAACCTTGCACTATCAAGACTTCATCCTTTTATCTCCTGAGATGCAGAAGTTATTTAGCTGGTAAATATATTTTCTGAGCTGTCAGTTGTGACTTATCATGCTGAGGCAAGCCTGAAGATGCATTTCATCAAATCTGTGAGTCAGTAGAGTTAAGAACCTGCTTTGATTTTGATTGTTTCTTTTTTTTTCCTGAGTGAAGGGACAGAGTGTTGTTCATGTTGAAAGAAATGGTTTGACTCACTTTCACATCAAGAGTTGGTTAAAGTAAAATATTCAGTTACGTCTACACTGTAGACAGTGTGATCTTTGAAAAGCAGAGCAGTTAATACAAGTTCTGACTGATGGCAGGATGGTTTGTAGTTTTATATATATATTTTTTTTGTTTTGTTTTTTCCTTATTTTTCCTTCAACAAGAAAAAGCTCCTGCACGTTTCCTCTGGAAACTCTTKAAAAGAAAGTGAGTAAAAGTTAGAATTTTATTGCATTTAACGTAAAAGTTTGGATTAATTTAGGCACTAAATGTCTTTGTTTTGTTTTAATTTACTTTACCAGTTATTACAGTCATGCTTCACCTTTTGTTTTAAAGCATTTTGTGTTTGTGTTGTCTTTTTCTGTTGTTTTTTTTGTTTGTTTCACTTGTTAAATCCACTACATATTTAGTTTGTTTTATGGAAAGCTTATACACTGGTTCCAAGTTGTGCAAACCTCTGTCCTTTTTAAAGACTTTTCTGATGGTYGGATAGTTAAAACAGTTACTTTCTGATTTCCTTTCAGCTTTCTTTTGCTGTTTTACAATCTTAGTTCAACCTAAAAGAAAAATATTTCATGTAATAGTTTTATTTCCATCCGTTTGGAAGGCTAAGCCCTCATGTAAAACAATAAATAAAAGGAAAACCTACATGTGGTTTTATTTCAAATGTATACCTGCTTTAAGGAAATAGAGAATCTATTATGACTCACTGATGTGGCAGATTTATTCAAATGTGCTGATTTGTTGCTCTGTTTACTGAATGGGGTTTTCAGAATGCACAAACTAAATATTCTTTGGAGCCTTTCATTGATGCAATCCTAAAATCTGGCAGTGTTGTGGAATGTGTGACTGCATAATCATGGCTCCTTGTTTTATGGGCAGCAAAGTGAGTCAAAACCATAATCATTAATGTTTCTTCTGCTTACATYGGCTGTGGAAGAAACCTGTAAATGCAACTCTTCAAATGCATGTTTTAGTGCATCAAGTCACTTTGTTTCATGGATTGAACCARTGGTTTTTAATGGAATCAGGACGTTCTGCAGTTGTATTCTTGTTTTTTTTATTGTCAGTTTTAGAAATGAATATGTCAATTTATTGGCATTATCCTAAGTTTTACATAAATGATTACCTCATGGACCTAAGAATAGGATTGTTTTTTACAGTTCATAAACTTAGCACAAAAAGTTGTGTTTGGTAGATTATTTCTTTGTTGTAACAATGCTTCTTGACAAATCCTACACCAYTGGAAAGCCTGTTAAATTCCCTTTTAAATGGTGTCACATTTGTAAGGAACATGCATTTGTGGGATGAGCARCAGAGCTGAGAGGGTTGCGCAGAATAAAAATTTGCCAGATCTTCTCTGCCAAAAAGCTTGTTTTGTTGTTGCTATTGACACTTGTTTTGAGATTCTGGCACCTCCTGGTGCTGCCAGTAAAGGTGCCAGTATAAGATTCATTACCCTGAGAAGCATACTAAACACAGTTTCTTAGTTTTGTGCTAAGTATAAGGAGTAATGTACACTATACCACATCTACCGTTGCCATTGTTGACCATTTTCAATCATTCTGACTGTTTCCTTAGACAAAGAGCTGTTCACAAAACTTGCTGCCAAATTTTTTACTTAAACATCTAGTTTTATGTGGTCCAGTGTTAAAACTACGACCACCGGTGACCCCCACGACACGGACAGGAGAAGCAGGCAAAGGAAATGGATGGATTAACCATATACGCTTAGCACAAAAAAAGTAAGAAAATTTGTGTTTGTAACAATTTGWTGTAACAATGCTTCTTGGCAAAACATACTGGCACCTGATTGGCCTAGAAGCTCAAAACAAGTGTCAATAGCAACAACAAAATAAGCTGTTTGGCAATGGCAGAGAGGATTTGGCAATTTTTTCACGTGTGCAACCCACAGCTCTACTGCTTATCCCTCAAATACATGTTCCTATGCAGCACCATTTAAAAGGAAAATGAACAGGCTTTCCAGCAGTATACGATTTATTGCCAAGAAGCATTGTTACAACAAAGAAATAATCTGCCAAACAAATTTCCTTACTTTTTGTGCTAAATTTATATTGGGGGKGGGGGGGGGGGTGAAACTTTTCTTTARGACATCAATCGAAATGCACCTAAAAAAGCTTTTTTTTATTTCGCAAGTGCCACCCCCCTGTTACAGGCTAATACAGTTAATCAGCTTTGCCGGGTTGTGAAATCTGCATGCTTTCTTTTCAGATCAGAGTTTGATCAACTTAAGCAGCACACTGAAGAGTCATGTGGAGAGTTTTAAATGTGACCGTAATGAGATTTTGTTTGGTAACATATAAATCTCATGCATTTGTTTTTGCCATAGTTTGTGCATCGTTAATCAAGAGAAAGGAAGTTAAGAACAACAAAACAAACAAAAAAATTCTATTAGAAAAAAAAACATTGTGTCTTGATCAGTTCAGGAACTGACAGGAAATTTGTTCTTTGTTAGAAATATAAATATTTTTATTATATAGATCATTTTTCCATGCTGCTGACTAGTAAGCAGCAAATGAACAGAGCACAAGCATTTATTAGTATTTAAACTTTATGGTGGTTTTGTAACTACATGCTGTTTTTATGACAAAATTAACAAATCCATAAATCATGCCTCAGGAAGCACTTGCATTTGATTCAAATGAAAACAAATTTTATCTCTTAATACTTGATTTTGCTGGCGTAGTTTTATTTTTTATTAGATTTTTAATRCTGAGAGATGGTTGACAATGTTTGAATGTTGTCATGGTTTGTACATCCCATGAAAGGTGACAGGGATGGAGCACTCCACTTCTGCCCTGGCGACCTCGGACAGATCCTTGGCATTGAGGATAAGGAGATAAGCTGGTCTCTGAGAACCAGGAGCCGCCACGATGGTGAGCAGGACTCCTGTGGAAACAGCGAACAACGGACCGGGTTAACCATTCATTGTCAATAACTGGGCAATGAAACTGATTCATTTTTGTGCTTTAATTGCTACTGACAGACTGGCTTACCATCATCCTCATCGACCCCATCAGGAGTCTGCACAAACAGGGGCTCTGAGGGATATGAATCAGGCTCCTGCCATACCCATGTCTCCTTGGTCTTCACATTCAACTTGCAGATCTGCACCGAAATGAGAGAACAAGTCAACAAAGGAACATTCTTKCCGTCTTCCTCAGTTTAAGTTCACAAATTTAGTCTTTTACCCTGTCTGGGATGAAATGGTTGAGACCCAGGGCGTAGGCGTATGAGTAGTTCCTCCCTCCGTACCCTTTGTAGTTAATCTGAGGAAACTCGAAGGCTAAAAAGACAACAATGCAAGATTACGCAATGAAGATTCCCCTTCATAAAATGCCACTGAGTGTCCTAATAAATGTGTGCTGGCACCTTGGCGAGGTCCAGAGAACAACACCTCAGGCTCCAGCCAAATCACCCCGTCAGCGTGCATCACAGCTGTGGCCGTGGTGTACGGCAAACTCACCAGATTCTTCCCCTGTTCTTCCTGCATTACATTCAAAATATAAAGAGTAAAGTAAAACACCACAAGTCTTTTCATTTGTGACATCTGTAATTAGGAGGACAGGCAGCTCACCTTGTGGACATCCAAGGGGATGACGTATCTGCGCACCTCGGGTTGGGGCGCCATCATGGCTGCTTTCTTCACCTCATCCCAATTAGCTCGCAGATTGGCCAACCAGAGATAGTTGTAAACAAACTCAAAGCTGCAGGAAATAAATGCTAAGTTGTCTATATGCAACTAATTTGTAAATAACAAAAATAAAGAAAGAAACCATGAGTTTTTACCCTTTCCATGCACACAGGTCAACAACAATAAACCCTTGGTCTTCATATGTGTTGATGTGGTGAAACAGGCCAATCGCTGCTCCTTTAAATTTAAGATCCATGTATTCTCCAGGGTCTTTTTTGGCAATGTGAAAATTAGTCTTTAAAAACAAATGAAGACATACAATTTTGTGAGGAAAGTTGATAAAACCATCCAACAAATGTTTAAATTTGCTCCAACCGTCTTACTCCTTGGCTCTCGTTGGACTCGAAGCAGTCCATGTAGTTGGAACCTCGAATGCTCCAGGCGCTCAGAAACTTGAGCAGATTGATTTTCACCGGGGTTTCCACAAAGACAAAGTAGTTTTCCGACATGCCAAAACTAAAATTGAGGGGGGAAAGCGACTTAGGAACTAGTTTATGCGACACTGAAAAAAGACTGGCCCAAAAGCCACACTCACCTGTGGACATACGAGGGCTTGAACCTCTCAGCACTGGGGAACTGCACCACCACTTTGGACTTTTCAATGGGATCGGATTTGTCTGAGGAAGGTTAATATGTTACTGAGAAAACTGTCATTTGAAACCCTGTAAAACCTTTTTTTCTTTTGTGTCATTTCAAGCGATTATCTTAACCCTTAAAGTGCGATTGTATTGTTCCAAGATCTACGATTCTTACAGTAAAATTCACAAATTTAAGCTCCWGTGTAGTTCAGTTAAATTTTAAAGTTACAAAGTTCCTGCTATATTTCATATCAAGAGTTTCTATTGTAGACATACATTAAGATGAAATATTTTGAATTTTTTTTGTAACAGCAAATGAAATTTAAAGCTCCACAATTTTGATGTGGCAAATTTTAATGCCGGGCTGTTGGTAGCAAAAAATTATTAGGTCTTTATTATTTATTTTTATTGTTCATTTCCAAACCTTTCTGCGTCGGAGGAATCCTGACAATGTTGTAGGCCAGCGATGCACCTTTACCCATGCAGTTTCCAATGTTATACACGGTGCCATCCTGCTCAATGTGAGGGTGAGCTGTGATTCCGTTGATGTTGACGTAGTTGCACATGTCAACCTGTGTAGAAAATTTAAACTGGTTGAACCAGCTGTTACTTCCTTAAAGATCTGTGGTTGTACTGAAATACCTTCTTCAGGGTTTCCAAAGTATCAGTGTTAACTTTAGTGATGTAGTTGGTCTCTGTTACGGCATAGAAATCCTCTCCTATAGGGTAGACATTCACYAAGCAGTTGTCTGTGACCTCAACTCCTTTGAAGTACGAGAAAAACCTGCAAACACAGATAAATTATAAAAAATATAGATTTTTTTAAAAGTAAAATGAGTATTAAAGCATGAAGAAAATGTGACATAAATTGGCTTAACAGTTTTGCCTCTTTCTGATAACAGTAAGGAAAATTCTGTAACCAACCTGGAGAAGATGTTTTTGCAGGGATCTGGGTACGCAAAAGTACCAAACTCAGTGATCACCACACGCTTCTCTGTAATGGCTCGCACGTATGCATCTGTCCTGATAAACCTGAGAGAGTGAAAAAATAATAAAAAAGTGGAAATTAATAAGATACGGAATCATAAAAAATAGCTGCTTTTTATCACTCAAACCTACACAATTATATCCACAAAGGACAGAATTTCTTTGCTGCAAATTATGACTTGAATTTTATTGCATATCTGTGCTTTAAAGTTGATTAGAAAAGTCATTCCACAGTTAGAGGTGTGTTGATAATGGGGATGAACTGTCTTCAAAATCTTACTTCCTGWAGTAAGTGACCTGGCCGTTCTTGAAGTCAAATTTGTGCATAAGAGCCTGTCCATCAAAAAGGTGGTAAAATGGTTCATCTCCAATCTCAAAAAGTCCAGGTCCCAAACGAAGAAGACTTCCTTTCAAAAACGAAGGAATCCTCCCTGTAGGATACACCGAAAAACATTAAAATATACTAGAAAAAAATCCCACATGTAAACATCCTGAACTGATTTGTTGAGGAATCAGCATAAACATATCAAAGAGTTTTGTCTCATTTCAGCTGGAAAATAGAAAACCAACCYGTGATTGTTGTTGGCAGAGGCTCAGCAAGCTCCTCGCATGTCTCAAAAATCTTTTTGTAGGTACCAGCGGGGTGTTCGAATCTGTTGTGAAAAAGTAAGGTCACTGACATCCACTGTTGAGAGCAGGTTCATTAAAGTAGACAAACTCTCAGAAGTTACAGYTGATTTTAGGGAGCAGACACAATAACCGCTCAAGTAAATGTCTAAAACATGACAAGACAGCCTTTAAAAAAATAAAATACAATATATTTCCCTGCATCTGAAACTCACCGGCTGACCATGTTTCCTTCTCGTCGTTGTTTCACGCACAAAAATTTTCGAATCAAGCCTTATGTCACCTTTAAGCTGGAAGCCTCTGATCCCCCCCAGTGATTTGGGGTTTTTATTTGTCTGGTGAACCTCACAACTGCTGCTCTGCAAATCTTCCTCCTGGCCAATCACATCTCACTAAGAACAAGAATCCCTTTGTGTTAATATCCCCTGCTCAATGATTCAATGGTTRCCCCTCTGTAACCGGATTTGTTGAGGAAAATATGTACTGCAAATAACAGTGCTTGACTAAAGTKTTGCAACTGTGCACGTGAGAATAAATCTAGATCCTAAAACCAAGTGAGTGTATTACAAACAGAATAAGAAATTAGAGAAGACTAAATTCATAAAACATACACTTTGTCATGTTTATCTTAAGAAAACACCACCTTTTTAGATGAAAATGTTTTACTAGAAGGAATGATGCAATATCTATAGCCTAATACAGCTGTAACATTGTTGAAAACTTTTTTAAAGTTATAAATTATCTCCACATAAAAGTGTTGCACCTCTAAATGGGCTGTTGTGCTTTGTTTTCAAATACAAATGCCTGACTTTGCTTGTGCCACAATAATCCAGGTGTAAGGATTAGACTGAAGACAGACTCTACATTGTTCCTGCTGATAAAAAAAAAAAAAAACATGGGAAGAAAAAGGGAGTTTTGTGACGTGGTTTACATGCAACAGTCTATGCAAGTCATTTTAAATACTCTGGGCAATGTTGTTTGTAGAGCTTGAGTAAAAAAAAACAAAGTTTCATTATGTGCTCTGACAAGCATTACTTTTGGCTTAGTGACACCCCTTGTGGAAAAATATGTTTTTCGTCATTAGATAAAAATGACAAAGCTACACATTTACTTTTTCAGTCTGAAATTGCTACACATTTTTTTCTACTGGAGTCAATTTGTTAGGAAGGCTAATTAAAAAGAGACAAGTAGGTCTACTTTATAGACAAAACTAAATAAATCTTTTAAAAATAGCCCACCCACACAGACCAATATTTGCGTTTTGACTCCCACCACCCACTGGAACACAAGTTAGGAGTGATCAGGACTCTGTACCACAGAGCAGACAGTGTCCCTACAAACCCAGGAGCCAGGCAGAAAGAGAAATCACACACACGACAGGCCCTGGAGCAGTGTGGTTACTGACTGGGCTTTCCTRAAAGCAGACAGGAAACACAGACAGGATTCCATGCAACCTTCAGGTGAAAATGAAGACCCCAAACCCAGACCCAAACCAGTGGTTATTCCGTATGTTGCGGGTGTTACGGAAAAACTGAGACGTTTATTTTCTAAACATGATGTCCCAGTAGCTTTCAAACCCCAAAACACATTACGGCAAAGGCTGGTTCACCCCAAAGATCCGGTGCCCCGGCACAAACAGAGCAATGTTGTATATGCTGTTAAGTGCCAGGAGGACTGCGACCAGTTATACATCGGGGAAACAAAGCAACCACTGTTCAAAAGAATGTCCCAACACAGACGAGCTACATCTAATGGCCAGAACTCTGCAGTTTTCACTCATTTACAGGCCAGCGGTCACTCTTTCAGAGATGAGGATGTTCTCATTCTTGATAGAGAGGAACGTTGGTTTGAGAGAGGAGTAAAAGAAGCCATTTTTGTGAAGAAAGACCGTCCATCATTAAACAGAGGTGAAGGCCTCCGTTTTCAGTTGTCCCCTTCCTACAGCGCTGCTATTGCCAGTATCACTCCACCCCCTGTTAACAATAAGTGTTAATTAGGTGTCAACGATAGCCATGTGATGTGAGTATCAGTCACATGGCAGCAGTGCTTAAAAGCCTGAATTTTGCCTGAAACTCTCAGACTGAAGAAGTCTCTTGGAGGAGAGACGAAATGTTTCATTAGAGAAGAACCCGTCCAGAAGACCTACACAATTTTTTTTCTTTTTGATTTTTTTTTTTACCTGGATTGCTGAGATGCATCAAGACACTTAAAAAAATACATCCACAAATTCTACCCCTTTTAATCCCTTGCAGTTTTCTGTCTTTTTGTCTGTTTTCTTTAATAATGTAGCCTAAATCTTTGCCAGTGAACAGAAAATATAATCAAAAAGAACTAAACAAACACCACCACCGATAACAGATGTAATCAGTTTACTTGACGTCACCCTTTTCATGATACCTGAGAGGAAACAGGGCGACATCTGTTGGTTATTAATCGCAAGTCAACTTGACATTAGTGTTGCCACGTTGATTTACATATTGTATTTAATTCAATCAATTAGATATGTAGTTCACAACAAGCCAAAATTAAACAGAACCATTCTTACAATCTGATCCTTTTACTCAATTTTACCGCCGTTCAGCTCTGCGCATGCGCGCTTCATTTCAGCATTACCCAACATGGCGGCGAGATTCAGKTGTTGTTTGTTTCGTTAGTCGAGGTCTGATATTTGTTTCGCCCATTATTCCAGTTGAATGCTATTAAATAACCTGCAGATTTTCGCCACTGTAATCTAAAAATAACCGTGGACTGTTTTTTTGTTGTGTAAAAACGGTTTTTGTCTCGAAAATGAGTTACACAACGAGGGTGGTCCAGGTGACCAATGTGTCGCCGAGCACAACGTCGGAGCAGATGAGAACATTGTTCGGTTTTCTCGGAACCATCGAAGAGTTAAAGCTATTTCCACCCGAGTGAGTTGACTAATATATGCATATTTACTTGTTGAGCYGTAATGAAAGTCCAGTGACGAGCTTGTGCATGCTCAAAAACAGGCCTGGAACATAGGCCCGTGCTAACCAGATTAGCAGCTAACATTGTTAGCTTGGCTGAACGTAAACCTGGCGGTGCTTACAGATTGATGTTTTCGTTAATATTGGTGCTAGGTAAAATATGAGAGACTAAAATTGTTGATTTTGTTTTTTTATTTTTACAACATGAAAAAAATGCATGCCCGTGTGTTTCACGGAGCCTGGAAAATTCACATTGATAATGATACATTCTGCTGTATTCAAATGTGGGAGATGCATGATGGGAAAAACGATATTATTTTCACTATTCTTTGCTAATTTTTCCTCTAAATCCTTCTAGTTTTACCACGAAATGAAATGTAGTCTTTTGCACAAAAAATTCTATCTAAAAGTTGTAATTTCTCATTGATTTATTCACATTTTTGCCTTTTAGATTATATTATTTTTCTGTAAAATAATGTATTTGATCTGTAAATTGCAGCTCAGGTTTTAAATTTCAATATTTCATTCATGGTTGAGTAAGAAATTTCATCACAACTTTTGTCTTAAAATATGAAACAAGTATAGGTTGTTTTTTTATGTACATTTTGTAACATTTCCTATTTTTTTAACCTGTTTTTACACAGTGACTCTCCCATGCCTGTGACATCTCGAGTGTGCTTTGTGAAGTTCCAGGAGCCTGAGTCTGTGGGGGTGTCTCAACATCTGACGAACACTGTGTTTGTGGATAGAGCTCTGATTGTGGTCCCGTTTGCAGAAGGTTTGTTGCACTGTTATGCCCATATGTTTGTGCTATTTGACTGAATGAGATGACTAGTGAAATGTGACACTTTAAACAAACAAACAAAAAAAATCCATCTGCACAAGTCAGCTCACTTTGCTCTGTTTTTGCACAAATTTTATTATAGTTTGATTTAAACTGACATTGCCATTCCATCTGGATACACAGGTGTATAAAGCAGATCTTTTTTTTTCATGTTAGATTTTCTGCATCCTGTGGTAGAACCACAATACAGTTGTCATTGTGTTGTGTGTTTTGCTGATGTTTTTTCTTCTTTTGTCACAGCCTGAAACATAAAATAGTGCTGTATGAACAAAGTAAAGAATATCAAAGTCTGCTTTACACACTATAAGGTGAACTTTTTCCAGCAGTGGGCGCTGTAGACACCTAAAGGTTTTTAAGCAAAGTTAAATTAACACATTATCATACACATATTTTCCCATATTGGACTATCCACTGTTAAACCTCTCTTTGTTATTTGTGTGTGTGTGTGTACGTGTGTGTGTGTGATTTTTGTAGTGAAGAAGGCAAAAGCAGCCCCCTCGTTGATGGCTGAAAGTGGTCGTCTGCCTGCCAACAGGGAATTGTAGACATTTACAAAGGCCAGCAAGCATTCAAGCCCCACACCCCCCTTTCCCCCTCTCTTTTGTCTTCTATTCTGTCTCTGCCTGGACTTTATCCTTTCCTTTTTTTTAATATGTATATTTTTCATATATGAGTGATTTAACTATAAACATTGCTGACAGTGCAGTATGTGTAAGCTCACAAGTGCTGCTTGGTACAACGGTTGGTATGTTCTTCATTTTTTCAATGTCAACAAGTTCCATAAAGATAGAACAAACAAAATTAGTAAATGCTTGATTATTTCTTGTAATGAAGGTGATCTATAGTTTCAGTCAGAGCTACAAAGACCTTGTTGTTGTAAACGATCAGAATACCAAATGTGTCAGAACACTCAACAAAAATGTTGGTGGTTTTTATTTCTGTTTAGGTAACTGCTGAAAAAAACAAGTTAATCTTAAAGGGATTTTATAGAATTGTTTCAAAAAATTGCAGAGAGTTTTACAATATGTTTTTTTATTTTTATTTTAAGTCCAAAACAAAAAACATGGTTATGTGGCTGACAGAATAATGCAAGACACATTTATTTGATCCTGGCATGGGGCTTGTTGGCACTGAAGAAGAATATTCCATAATATTCTTGTTTAAAAGGTTGGGTCATATTTTTTGAAAAGTTGTTAGTTATTTGGGTCTGGTGAAGAATTAATGTAGAAAAAGATARCTAAAACCATAGTATGTCTTATAACTTTCAAAACAACCGCTGCTAGTTTGAGCTGAACCTGGCCTTCTCAAGGGGGAAACCCATCATTTACTTGATGCCTGCTATAGTAGGTAAACTAGAAAACTCCTTGTCATAAATGATCAGAGATGACTCTCGACAAGACAATGTTGGTACAATATTTTCTTTAACGGTGGTCTTCTTTTTTTGTTGTTGTGTTTTACAGTTCTTTTTCCTGGCACAGCCAGTCCTGTATACCAGACCCAGCTGAAAATACCATCCAACAGTTTTGTGTCCTGCAGCAATTTCTCTCTCCAGTGTGCTCTTGTTTTTAAATGTTGTCTCTGTTGTGTGTCTACATTTAGATCATCCCATTTTTTATAAGTTACACTGGGAATGGGTGGAGATTCATGATTGTGAAGTGTTTGATAATGTGTGCCAATTTAAAAAAAAAAAAAGAAAAAATACAAAACTAGAGGTTAGGGATGGGCATTTTAAGCAAAACTTCAACTACAAAGTGACCAGGAATAATTTGACCACTTTATGAATACCAAGAGATTTTTGCTTTTCATAATGCATGTTAATTTTGTTCTCACATCCTTTAATAATGCAATGCTATGTAGTTAAAATGTGTGCTGAAAAGTGGAGGCTTAAGGCTATTAAAATGGGGAGAAAAAGGAGAAAGTAATAATATAAACATCATTTAACATGTTCATCTTAACTAGTACAAATCTTAAATATTTAAGGTTATGGCCTGGAACCCTTTCCCCCCYTGTTGGTGTTAGGGTCACTGAAGGAAGATATAGAATTTCTGTAGTTCCTGGTAGCACAGTTTACAGTCAAATGTGAGATGTCTTTAAAAAAAGTTCTTACATGTTAACTTGCCCATCCCTAATAGAGGTGCTGAGTATTTTATACAGATGGTGTTTAAAAAGTCGGTATCAAAAATTAAACAACACATCTTACCCTCTTCAAGTGTGGTTAATTGATGCAGTGCGAGGTAAGGATTTTAAACTAATGATGTATAGCAGGCACGCTACCAACCTTGAATTTTCTCATTTATGGTAACTACCTTATCCTCTGAAATGTGTTTTTGGTAAGTAGACATTCAGCTTGTTTAGTGTTCCTGCCAAATCCTTAAAATTCTCTCTGTTGTGTGTATCTCGATTTTTCTCTGTGTGCTTTTAGTAGCGAAGCCGCCAGCGTGAGTCGCTTGTTTCAGTAAGCCTCTAAATGAAAATTGAGGGCACACCCAACTGGAGAAGCCGATGTGCTTGCTAACGTTTGGTTCATGACTTAAAAAACACATTCAGGTGATATATTCTTAGCAGTGTTCATTGGAATAGTGTGATGTATTCCAGCAATAGTTGTTGTTAAAGTAAGGGAACTCTGATCTATAAGGTGACCTTTTTGTTGAACCTAAATTGAAGAAATGCAGTGAGAAGACTTTTTTTTTCCCCAAAACATCTATGAGTTTTATGTAAGATTAGGCATTCTTCCCTAATTCATGTTTTGTATTTTTCTGTAGGATCTATTCCAGATGAGGCTAAAGCTTTGTCCCTTTTGGCTCCAGCAAATGCTGTTGCAGGAATTTTGCCAGGTGGAGGCCTTCTTCCCACACCGAATCCCCTCCCCAATCCAACTGTAAGACTTTCAACTCACTGTTTACAAAATGGACACATCTTGCTGCATTGTATAGCTGTGTGACATAATTTAATGGCAATGYATTTAACTTCAGCTCGGACCAAACCCATTTGGTGGTCCCAATATAGTAGATCCGATGGCAGCATTTGGATTCGCAGGATCCAATATGAACCCTCAGGTGAAGGCTCTTCAAAAGCACTACTAAATACATTTATTGGATTTTTTATATACATTGATGAAAAGAAGCATTGTGACTGACTTTCAGACCATCTATTTTATTTTCCTCCTCACAGGCTGCTGATCAACTACTGAAGATGATGACAGATCCAAAGTAAGCCATTGCAAAGCTGTCTCACATTTATAATAGAATGATGATTAACTGTTTTTAGCAATGTAAGTAAATTATTATTATTTTTTTGTTCAGACTGAACCCTTTGGCTGCTGGTTTGAACCTGAGTGCAAGCCTGAAGGCTGATGCATCTAATAAAGAGATTGAGGAGGCCATGAAGAGAGTCCGGGAGGCTCAGTCACTCATTTCTGCTGCCATYGAACCTGGACGTGAGTGTATTCAGCCTTCACTGTGACCATTTTTAGTTTTGAGGTCAAAATAATCTGTTAGGTTCCTTTTATTAAAAACTTTAAACTTGCCATGTCACATTTTCATCTATTAAAAGTATTTGTGAAGCTAAATTGTGCAAATAAAAAGCTTAAGTTGAGTCACTTTTTTTGATATTATACAGATAAGGACAGCAAAAAGAAGCATTCACGGTCTCGGTCCAGGTCCAGAAGGAGGAGGTCCAGGTCACGTTCAAGACACAGGTAATACTGTAGTAGGGAAGGCTGGGGTGTTGAATTGTTTTTTTTTTTTTTTGCATGTGTTGACTAAGTCAAATTCTTTGAATGTGTAGTCGCAGGCGAACAAGGAGCAGATCAAGGCATAGGTCAAACTCAAGAAACAGAAGGCGCTCCAAAAGCCCACGCAGGAGACACACCCACTCTAGAGACAGAAGCAGGCGCTCTCGAAGCCGATCCAGGTGAGCCAACTGTGCAGAGATTTGACTCTACGCCTACTGTCTGACAGCCGTACGGCTCCAGATTTGTGCTTATTCTTCTTTTTTTTTTTCAGGGATAGAAAGAAAGAAAGTGGTGGGAGAAGACGATCCAAAACCCCACCAAAAAGCTACAGCACAGCCAGAAGGTCACGCAGCATCAGCCGGTGAGTAAAGCTCAAGTTTTCACAAGTTAAAACGAAAGGCTGCAGAGAACTAGCTGCATATTTCAAGTTTTCTTTTTCTTCAATGCTGGAAACATTCCTGTTGAAACAACTTCGTCTTGCAAAAATTGCATATTTAGACATTTTTAGTGCATCAGTCTTGGGTTTGCATTTCATCACTGTGCTTACACACATGATGCGGATGTCTTGCAGCTGTCTAGACTGAACACTAACATCTCGTGTTTATTCTGTTCTGCTTTGCAGTAGACGCAGGAGAAGTCGCAGCAGCAGCCGATCTCCTAAGAAGTCTCCTAAAAGAAGAAGCCCATCTCCATCCCCTCGAAGGTTGGTGAGACGGTGCTTATTCACATCAGTTTTCACTACGATTGGACCAAAGTTCAACATTTCTTTAGTCAGCATAATTCCACTTGGTTTCCTCTCCATCCTCTGCAGACACAAGAAGGAAAAGAAGCGAGATAAAGAAAGAGACAGGGACCGCAGGGTTGAAAAGGAGCGTGTTCGTGACGAACGGGAGCGCTCCACCAGCAAGAAAAAGAAGAATAAAGACAAAGAAAGGGAGCGTGAAAGGAAGTCTGACGGAGAGAAAGGAGACATTAAGGTTTGTTTATTTGCTGCGTACTTATTTTTCTGAAACCCTAAGGACATCACTGCTTGGATAAATGTTACTGCCTCAAAGAAAACTCAAGCTAGTTGTTCTCCTGCACAGATCACCAGAGATTACGATGAAGAAGAACAAGGGTATGACAGCGAGAAGGAAAGAGATGACAGGAAAGATTCAGACGACTCTGCTTTGTCTCCTCAGTCGKTGGAAGGAAACGGCACAGCGCGGCTCAGAAAGCAGGCCAAAGTTAATGGTGCTGACGATCACCATGAAGAGGATATGGATGTTAGCGACTGAGTGATCAATCCTACTTTATCTTTTCACTTTAGTTATAAACATACCTTTTTTCCCCCCGTTTGGTTAAATCTAAAATGTAAAGTGTTTGTTAAAAAAACATGTTATTCTTACAGAAGATTAGTCTGCTCTTTTGCCAATGTATACTGCATCATTGTTTGCCTGATAATTCTGTTCCTCTTTTGTCACAAGTACTTATTTGCTCCTCACCACCACAGATGCGATCGGTTAAAAACTGGAAATAGATTTGCTTTGGCTTCTGCTGAGCTTGTGTTAGCAGATTTTTGTCACTTCATGTGTTTTTTTCCCCTCCTTTTATTGTAGTGTTGTGGTGTAACAGTCCTTCACAGAACAATTACATCTTACTTTTGATCTGGAAGTGTTTTATCAAGATTTTTTTTTTTTTATATATAATAAAGCCTATTTGAGGAGCTAGGACTCTTTCGTTTTCAGTTATTCATTCATATAAACATTTTGCCTGATAAAAAAAACCATATTTTAAAACTACAGTAAAACAAACTGGAGCACATTTTACTAATGGTTTTTGCATGATGCCACTGGCATCAACATAAAGCTTTTAAAAGGAATTAATGACACTTGCACAGTCAGTTGAAACATGATGCTGGTGCTTTATTTAAAGGGATGTGAAGTAGGTATGGTTGCAGTACATCTTAGCTGAAGCCAGTGACAACGCMGTGGATCAGAACATTTCCCATCTGGACACAAACATCCAGTTTTATCAACTTCACAGCTTTTCCCTCATTGGATTTCTATAGAAAAGATTTGTTTTTTTTTGCAAAGATTTCTTATCAGAGCTCTAAAGTGTTAGTGTTACATTATATTTTTAAACCTTTAAATATCAGTGGATCTGCAGGTAATATACAGTAACAAACGCTTAAATAATTAGCATAAAGATGCATGTGATCCAAAAAGGCCAACACAGCCATAGCATGCCTTAAATATCAGTGCAGTAATAAACTTAATTACAGTTTACCTGATATCCCATCTGGGTTCTCCCACACGCAAAGGAACAACAAATCTCAACACAACGCATCACTCGCACAACAAGAGTTCATACGATCACAACAAAACGCAGAGACAGCTCAGAGGTAACATTAGCAAACCTGAACACACAGGAGATCATGTCCTGCATGGGATAAAAAGGCTTTAAAATCTGTTTCTCAGCTAAACCTTATCCCAGCTGGTTAAAAACATTCGTAAGTACTGGAAATGTATTGCTACACAGTGTTACTCTTTTGAGTTTATATATATAGTACACAATATAATAAATGAATGGTAAGCTCAGTTTGAGGATATAGCTATTTGTGTTTCTTATTGTGAATTAAAGATGTGACTATTTACAGGTGACTGTGGAAAGAATGAGCATTCTTAATCCTTGCAGATGAAATAAAATATTTAAATAGTGACGATGAGACGAACGAGCTGGGTCACCTGACAGCTTGAAAAGTACAGAACAGCAGCTTTAACAGCTCAGTTTATGAACAGCAAGAACAATGAAAGCCATCACTCGTTTCACAAAAACAACTGCCAACGCTCCTGTGACCCATCACATCGAAATGATGAGGATTAAGTCAAATTTAATGACCTAATATTTTCAGATTCCTGCTTTAAAAGCTACATTTTGATACTGAGATCATCCTGATATCATTAGTAGATCCAGAGATATTTTTAATTTGTCTTGTTGGTTACAATAATGCATTTAGTCTAAATCCCAAATTTTATGTAATTTAAAGATTTTTTTTATGTCATTTGAAAAAAGAAACCTGAAATAGTAACTGAATATTGAGATTCCCCAGCTGGAAAGAAACAAAACCATTGCTAGCTCACAGGGAAAATCTCAACATTTTAAGGCGTTTTTCCTCAAAATTGGGTTTTTGGTTGCTAATGCTCAAAAAAAGTGCTTCAAAAAAATTTTTTTTGGATAATATTTTAGACAGTTCATTGAAATGATACATTGATAACATTTCTTTGTTAAATTTTTAGAAAATGTAATTTTTGCAAGCGTTTTAATCAAAACACCATATCTGCCTATTTCTCCACATACAACTTTTAGACTTAATCCTCGTTTCAATGTTGATGGGCCACATTCTGATATTTTCTTGCATTTATTTGCTTTGGGTACATCAGCAAAAATGAGTATTAACTCTTTAAAAAAAAGTTACCCCTCCCTTATTTCCCCCTTCTTGAAGAATTAAAAGATTTAGAATGAGCCTACACTCTCAAACCCGCCGGCCACTTCCTGTTCGTGACAGACAGATCAGAGGTCTGGGAAGCGGCTGGGATCTTCCTTGTACTCAGCGGGGATGTCGAAGAGAGACTCTTCRAATTCGTCGTAGCGGAATTCCTGAAAGGTGACAGTCGCTGTGATCGTGGGGAAGACGGGGATGTCTGCGAGGCAAGAAACAAAGCGARAAGGAAGTTATTTTGTGATCCTCCGCCTGAAGCGCAGCCAACCCTCGTAGGCACTCCGAGGTAAGGTACCTAGTTTGACTGGAAACCCGGGTGGAAGCTTCATCTGAACGAACTCTCGGAGTTTGTTGAAGTGCTTGAACGGAGCGACGACTTCCAAGACGTTTAGTAACCTGGAGGCAGAGGAAAATGAGTCAGTGGTTTTTTTTTTTCCTTCCCCTTCACACTGACAATCCACAAAAAGAACAGAAATTCAAGTTGAGATCCAGCTCACATGTGTCATGAATGCAAAAGGAGTTTCTAACACTGGTGCTTATAGAACAACAGCTTTTGAAGGTTTTGGATTCATCTAAGTTTCATTCTTCACTATACGACACTTTTAAGATTCTGCATCATTAAATGTTTGCCAACAGCTCCTCAACATCCTACAACACAAAGTGTCTGTGCTTTTGTAGTTGGAGGGAAAACTAGAGGGACAAGATGTGCAAACCACTCAAATCAAAACCGAAGATCACCTAATTTGCCAGAAAATATAGCAAATTATTTTCTCCAACAGCACTTCCGGTGATTTCCTTTTAAGTTTAGGACATTAAACTGAACATTATTAAAGTCGTAAATATATTTTTAACAATACAAGCAGAAAAAAACGAAAGAGAAAATGACATTAAAAAGCCATTAGCTATGATGAAGAATGGGGTTTTAATGTTTCCATTAATGTTCACTCAGTAGATGAGATAAAGCGGTTTACTTATAAAATAGCCCTCATGAATGTTACATCATTACTCATTTTATAATAAATACAACTTTAAAATGTACTTTTCTCAGGTCTGGTTTGATTGTTCTCTAGGAACTTTTTAGTCCTTAGATTATCATCGTTACATTAAAATAAAGCAACAACACTAAAATAATATCCTAAATGTGCTGTATAAATTCAGTCTAAGTTACAGMTGTTTTGAAGTCAAACAAGCCAGAATCCAAACAAAACAACGAATCAAAGGCTGAGTCTCGATCCAGAGTGCGTTTGTCGGCCTTTTACGTCACTTTACTGCGCCATAGGCCGTCCCATTTTGTAGGCACCTACACAAGAGGCTGACAAATGTGGTGGACCAAAACCCTGAAAACGTAGGCTGCACCTGGGTATCCTATGCGGCCGATGATATCCCAGGAGTCATTGCGCCGTCAGCAAACTAAACAGTAAAATGATGACAGCAGAGTTTTCTCTTTTTTAAACAGATGAGCTTGGAATTGTTTTCAACGCAAGTTTAGCAACTTAGCTGATGAAATTTATGCTGCAATGAGATGTTAGAAAAATGCAATTACAAGATACTGGAGCTAAACCCAAATTATTTTATTTATTTATTTTTTTTACGTTTTTTTTATAATACTAAAATTTGTGAAGTTATACCGTGAAAAGACAACTGAAGACGTGGTATAAAACATATCACTATGCTAACGAGGCAGCGCATGGTCACAAAAACATACATCACCTGTAGACAAGATGGTCTCATCAGCAAATCGACTTTAAGATTTGCAAAAATCAGAAATAGGACATTTCAAAGAGCATTTTCTCATATTAATCASAAACCTTTCATTTGGAAAATACCTGTCATTGAATTCTCGCAGTAGTCTTGTGGTTCAATTTTATTTTGACAACATAAATAAAAAGTAAAAAATAATAATAATAATAACGGAAGCAGGAAGAAAGTAGCAATGTGTTTTTAGGTAATTCAGAAATGGCAGGATTTCATAAACAATTAAAGCTGAGCAAACATCTAAAAGGATGTTAGAGCTTTTCTTAAAAATAAAAAAAGAAGAAAAAAAGTGGGGGAGATGAACCGCTTCAGTGAAAATTTCTCTTTATTTTTTGAGGAGGTGATTTTGCTTATTGCTTCTGAAGCCTTTTCATGTACCAAGTCCTATTATACAAATGATTTTATCTCTGCTCAACCCTCTCCTAAACTCCCGAGAGGACTCTCAGGATCAAGCTGCTTTGAGAGCTTTATGAGGAGATCTGAGGAGGATGGGATGTACTTACGACTCAATGCCTAGGGGGAAATCCTGGCTCATGGCTACAGTAGCTTTGAAGTTCTTCTTGCTTTCTTTACACACAAGTTCTCGGCCAAGATGAGGAGGCCTGGAGGTGATGGGAGACACAAACGGATAAAGATGTATTACACACTCAGCAGTTGCTTAAGATTTTTCTTGCGGCTGCCCTAAATAAACTAGCTAATTACATCAAAGACTGAAAATACAAGATGCTTACTTTCCAGGCTCTGCAGTTACGTACTCTTCCCAAGAAATGGTATTAGGAGCTGGAGATGTGAGGGACTGCCTCCTCGCGGGCTGGATGGAGAGAGAGAGGGGTGCAATCAACGAATCACAGCGTTGTTACTTTGAACTGCCGGGTAACGGAACCAGATCACTGAATTATTTATTTCATTACCTCGAAGTTCTGCTCGCTGATGCCGCCTCCTTTACTCAAACTCTCCATGATGGCTTTGTTCCTCAAGATGTCTTCTTCGCTCAGGTGCTCGCGTCGCTTCCTCGACTCGAGCACCAGGCCGTTCACAGCGTAGAAGTCGGCCAGAAAGTTTCCAACCCGCTCCTGTACAGAAGGTGTGACAATAAGGTGTTCCAGTTCAAAATGCCTCCTGGAACGTTATAAAAATCAAGCGTGCAGGTAAAACCGTACTGTTGTACAAAACTACAGGAACTAAAAATCAACAAAAGAAATTGTGACATATATTTTTTTAGTGTCATAGTCTAAGTGTGTTTTATAGGGAATTGTTTCGAAAGGAATAAACGCATCATTTTGCCTATTTCTGCTTTTTTATGTTGCTCAAAAGAATAGTTTCCATGATTTATTGTGGGGTCAATCTTCATTTTTCCACAACTGAGTGTAGGGGGAAGCTAAATTACCCACCGTTCTTTTCAATAAAAGGTGGCAGTCTGCCCACTCAATGCAACCCTCCTATTTATTTTCCAGACATGTTTCCAGCTGTTTTTTTCTGGTTCAATATTTACCACTTTCTACTTACTGAAGAACAAATATATCGAGTCAAAATATAAGTGGTGTTGATGTCAAGGCAAAAATCAGAGCTTTGCCTGACAGTGTGACCATGCACTAAAGCCAAACTAATATTTCAACAGTGTTTTTTTTTTTCAATATGCCCCATGTGTACTCTTGGCAGGTTCCACTCTGGTATGTTTTTTTTATTTTTTTGGGTTCTGAGACATCATAAGAGGAAAATTAAGCGTCAAAAGGGAAGCTGTGGAAAAAGTCTGGACCAGATTCTCTGCGGCCATTTTTCTTATGTCCTCTGAAGCTAATGAGTAAAAAATTGCTCTTCAAACTGACCACGGTATTTTTAGGCTCTCCCGCTGATTGCCTTATAAAAGATGAACAAAGTCGCTCTGATCTCAACTACTGGCTCTGACTGAGAGCTCAGATTGACACAGCTGCGACATGGCAGCAGAACCCTAAACCAAACGCTTTTATTTCCTATTTAAACTCTACATTGGATACAAATTTACTGCACAAAATATGAAACTACGGATAGTTAATGTGTCCTATTCTTTTAAAACACCCTGAACTTGTGTATGTAAAATCTTTTAAACTCAATTTTTTTTTAAAAAAGCAACTGTAATTCTGTGACTCTTCGACCTCTAGAGCAAAGGTGTCAAACTCAATTAAAMAAAGGGGGCAAAGAAGAAGTCTTTTAGAACAAATCTGTTTTAAAGAAATATAAACGACTTTTCCCAAATTCTGTTTTATGTTTCATTTAGAACATRCATAACCTAACAAATAGAGGAAAAAGAACAAATTTAGAAGAAAAAAATGCCTTACTCTCAAACAACTTTTTCATTTATTAGGTCTTAAAGGGTATGTTTTATCACAATCCAGCAAGTCAGGCAAAAATAAATAAATAAATAAACAAAACTCTAAAAGTCCAATTATTTGACTTTAAAATAAGAATACAGCAACACATAATTAAAGCATTACTTTTTATTCTAAAAATAAATAAATAAAATAATAATCTATGATGACTGAAAAAGCCTAACTTCATTTTCTTGGCTTGACGTTTGGCGAGCTGTCACAAGAAGAATGCACTAAATCCAGTGATAAAAAGACAAACCATAAAACTATATCACATTTGAAGTATGACCTTTGGAGCCGGATAACGAGGGCCAGATTTGGCCCACGGGTCTTAAGTTTGACACACATGCTCTAGAGGATATTATCATAGCAGACACTTCAAATGTCTTTTTAGCAAATAGCTTCAAATTTCATTTAATGCAAATTCAAAGTCACAGTTTGCTATGAGGTAGAGACTTTGTGTTTCTTTTTTTTTAAGTTTAGCAGAGATCAATCCTAGTCTTACTGTTTTATCCTCTCTGAAGAGCCAGCCTATCTGACTGCGAGAGAACGTGATGGACTTTGTCGACAGAGTTGCAGAGTAGACGTCACTGCTCATCAGGATGTCCACTTCTTCTTCAGTCTCCATCTCTGACTCCTTGGAGGTAGAGGTGGAAAAAAAAAGTTTGCTTTGGCTGTTCACACAATAAGCAAATAACAATGACTCAGATGTCTCAGATACCTCATGGTGTATTCTTTGGTACACTTCTGCTTCGTTGTCCAGAACCACAAAGGACTGTGAGGGTGGGGCGTCACCGTTGAAAATGAAGCTCAGATCTCCACGCTGACACTTCATATCATTGAAGTCTATGAGGGTAGTGTTGAGCCTAAATCGAGAAAGAGGACACAAGATTCAGAGTCCTACTTCTTAGCTCTAACAGACGTTTTTGACCTGGATATCCACAACTTGCTGCTTTAAACGCAAATTAAAGAGAATTGATCTTTTCGGCGCCTTACCTGATGTTTATGCCCTGCTTGTAGATTTTACAGGCATCAGATGGCAGCATCCTGGAGAGCAAAGGAACTAAAACAGAGATGAATATTAYAAACTCATCGTGGCAAATGAACCAACTTTCTACGATGCTTGAGTGTGAAGAGGCACAACTAAATCTAAATATTTTTTCCCCTATTTTATTAGGTTTTACAATCAACTTTTTGTTCGTGTGAAAAAATACTCACCCCAGCTTTGAAAGTCCCARTGCACCTCCAGATAAAAGTCGCCAAGCTGGGAAAAAGATAYAAACATGTCCGACTGAAGAATTTATTTATAAATTTAACTAAAAGAAAAAAAAAAATCAGACTTTGAATTTTTTCTATATTTCATATCCAGCCTCGATGTATTTTAAATCAAAATCTTTGCAGATTTTCAAAAATACATTTAACGGAACGGTAAGAAAAATGTGATGAGATGGCGGTCGGAATAAGTTTGCAGAAAACAAGTTGATTCTCTTCTGAAAAGCTTTATTCAAAAAATCTGAACTCCAGCGCAGCTCCAGCCTGTCAGCCAGCCTGTGAGTTTGAGGCCTTGGGCCTTATCAGAAATACAAAACAATAACAAACCCTCTCAGCAGCTGCAGCTGCTGTTCAGGCAGGTCTAAAAAGAATAATGATGCATCGCCCCATACAGTCGCATGTAAACCTAACTTCCTGGTCACAGCCTTGGGGGCGGAACCTTTTACATCAGATACTGGAAAGTAAAACAAGTTCTGTTTATATTAAAGAGGCACACTGATAGAGACTTACTCTCTTTCCCTGTTAAAAGCATATGACTGCAGTTTGATCACAGAGTGTACAATACTGCAGTTTGATCACAAAGTGCACAATACAAGACCGTATTTTAAATTCTGTTAATTAGTCACAAAAAAACAGCAGCTTTATATTTATGAGTTTAGAGGAACGTGTATCTGTGTAGTGATTCTCACCTCCCTGAGGGCTTTCAGTAATTTTGGCCTCTTGTCCTCCACACTTTCCCTTGACTGCTGCTTCAACTTCCTTAGTATTGCTGTGACTGAAAGAACAAAYGCACAAAAAAAAAGATAAGCTCAGGAATATCCATCGGCAAAGGCAAGCTGAACGCACTCCTTGCTTTTCTTTAGGGCTTCTTAATCCACAACAAATACATCAAAACAGGTTATATTACAGGCTGACTCTAGTTTGTTACACATACTTATAATAAGGTCAAATTATAGCACGTATTTGGTCACAAAAAAAGCACAAAAATTACATTAAACTGTTGTTTTTATTTTTAAACAAGCTGTTTTAGATTCATCTGTACACTAAAGCATAGATTATCAGATACATGTTATCTTCACAAAGCTTTCAATGATCTGTTTCTTCACTGCAGTTGTGAAACTTGGATAAAAATCTAATCAAATTAGCATCACTGTACAGTTTTAACAGACCACAGTATATAGCAGTAAAAGATTAAATCACATTGAGAGAGTGTACCACATAGATCAAATACAAATCTTTGCTTTTCTCTCTCTCTCTCTCTCTTTTTTTTTTTTTACTTTTTTTTCCCACAGGGCTCATTTCAGGGGACTGATTCCTGAAAGTTTAACCTTGGTGGTGTAAAATATMAAATCCAGTGCCTTGACTCGTTTACGTAATCGACACAGGAGACCCATTTAAATACTTTCAGYTAATTTAAATAAAACATATTGTTGCAAAAGGCACAAGAAAAAAAACGTCTGCATCAGCAGATATAACTCAGTGGCTCATAAAAATGCCTCTCAGGAACTGACCAGTGACCCTTTAATGATACAGAATGGAGCAGAGTAAGTCAGCACATCTCAGTGGAGTTATTTCAGCCTGGTGGAAACGCTGGACTGTGAACGGATGTGGCTAAGAGGGGTGATGCTGACGAGGCGCTCGCTGCCCGTCGCTGCACACGCAGACAACCAGAGAGCGAGCTGCTGAGAGGAGGTGTACAGGTGTGACAGGAGAAGGTGATGACTGATGGTGACACTGCAGAGTTACATTAAAGGGATCCCTGATTAGTTGTAACATTAGACTTTATTTGATAAACATATATTTTAACTGTAAAATAAAGACAGTAAAACACGGTAGGCTGTTTAGTTTTGTAAATTTTTAAAAATATACTTTAACACGGACGGAGCCATTTTATTTACACACAAAGCATTCTGGGTAAATGATGACGTGGATAGGTCCTCAGTGTGAGCGAGCTATATCCACCCTGAAGGTTAATCTTGGACAATATCTGACGATATTGACATATGAGAGCGACATGATATTGAGAGCGTTGACAGAGTGGAGAAGGTAGAAATGAGTCAAGTCTACAACTGAAAATATAGATGGAGGACAACAGAGCTGCTTCGTGAATGAAGAACCTCAGCTTAGCCTGTTAACCTTTGTACTAGCTCCGACGCTATATTGCCTAAGCTAAACTGAGGCCCTCCCATCCATATTTTCAGTTGCAGGCTGAGTCATTTTTGCATTTCCCTCTCTGTCATGTGGATGG